CCATGCCAAGTGTGAAGGTCTCAAATGGGAACACAGAAATCAGGTCTCCAGTACAGTGGCTTTTTTAGCTGGGTTCCATGTGTGACCATCGCATCCCCTGGCATGCGGGGCTGTGCTTGGCCATGGTCCTGCCCCCCCCTGCTTTCTGGGGCTGAGGGGTACAGGGGAACAGGGGCAGCCTGCTTCTCTGTTGTCATCCTCCTCTTTCTCCTCTCTCAGGTTCTGCCTCTGGAAAACAAGATGAAGAACCCCCGGCAGTTCCCAGTCATCCTCTATGTGGGGATGACCATTGTCACCATCTTGTACATCAGCCTGAGCGTCCTGGGGTACCTGCGCTTCGGGGCGGACATTCAGGCCAGCATAACACTCAACCTGCCCAACTGCTGGTGAGTCCCCATGGGGAGTGCAGGGGCCAGGGGTGAGGAGAAGGGGTGGCAAGGAACATCGCTCCTTAGGAGAACTGGTCTGGATGAGCTTCAGAAAGGATCAACCGTGCCATATCCAACTGTCCAAAGGAGCTTGACAAGGGTTGTCTGATGTTACGGGGTAAAGAGAGGCTCATTGCTGTGGTGTCTGAGCTTGGTCTTGGCTCTGCAGCTCATGCTGCTTCCCTGGGGTCCCTGCCTGGTAGGTGCAGCTCCTGCCTATTTGTTGGAGCCTTGTGGCATCTTTTTTGGGGCTAAGCAGCACTCTGGATAGGAGATTTTGAACACAACCCCTGTGCAGCCATATCAGAAGGTGGCTGATCTGTGCAAAACCCACTTCTCTTCCACCAGTGAAGCACTTGGAAAACCACCCCAAAGCTGGGAGCTCCCAGAGGGGGCAAGATGTGATGTCTCCACATGTGGGCTGCGATTCTTGTTTGCAGCCCTGGAGCTCAAACTCCCACACCTGGGCTCTGTGTTGTGCCTGGATGCAGCTCATCTGAAGCCAATGCTTTGCCTGTGAGCACTGGTGCCATGAGGATACCCCTTCCTGAGCTCTGCAGCTCCCCAAACCTGTCTGTCCTCCTGTGGGTTCTGGCAAGGCCTCTTGAGATGCTGGAAATACACACGGCCTGACCCTGTACCTGCTAACCCAGAGGGGTTCTCTCTTCTCTGGCCAGGGCTGGTTTTCCTTGCAGCAAGTGGCTGGGCTTTGTACTAGTCTGTCCCTGGGGCTGAGTGGTTGGCTCAATGTCACAGCTCCATAGTCATCCCAGAGGAGGAATGCAAGCAGGTTTTCTTGCCTTTGGGACAAGAAGTGTGGAGCATGCACATACTGAGAACAAATGCCTTTTCCAGCTTGCTGCACCTGGGATTTTATGAGGAAGTCCTGAAAAACTCATTTCTACTGCTTCTTGCGACACGCTGCTTTGGGATGTCTGTGGGGCAGGATGTGGTGCTGACAGGCGAGGAGGAGCTGGAGAGAAGCTCTTCTACACACTGCAGAGGTTCCACTTGCACAGCAGCACCTCCTGCACGTGGTGTGGAGCTGGGGCTGTGGATTGGCTTTGGTGCCATGAGGTTTCTTGGAAAGCCATCCTGCAGCAACAGGGTTTCTTCAGGTTTGTCTGGGAGCATTTGAAGTTCAACAGTTTCTCTTTGATGTCTCTTCTGGCTTGAAATCCTGCAAGAGACCAGTGTGAGAACTGAAGCTGGGGGAGCCTGTCCCCTTCCCCAGCCCACCTTCTCTGCTGTTAGCAGCTGCCCATCACTTTGCACCATGACTTGCTGCCTCTTCCCCACTGTTGAAACAGATTTGGGCAGGACTCTTGTGAGTCACTGCTGGGCTTCCATGTGCTGACCTTGTAGGACAGTGCAGCTGGAGCTGTGGAGAAAGCAGACATTTGAAAAAACAGCCTGGGTTGGCTTTTGGTTATTGCAAGGAGGGTTTCTTTCAATTCGAGTGCACAGACTTCCATTCATGCTGGATCCGTGTAGTGACTGGACTGCTGGGTGTTGTTGTGGCAGAAGGTCCTGCTCTTGCCAAGAGCCTTGCCTTGTCCCCTGTAGGGGCTGGAGCTCTGCCAGGTCCCTGTTCTCAGTGAGGAGGGATGGGGCTGGTGAGAAAACTTGCCTGTGTTGCGGGACATCTGGATCCCACCATGCCAAGCACAGTAGGTGTGAATCCCATCCCCTCAGCAAGCTCTAAGGGGAGATGTGAAGGGGATGAAATGCTGCTGTTTCTTCTGAAAGGTCAGACCCAGGTCTTGGGCTCTGCAGGGCACCAAGTCATGCCACAGCCTGTAACATCTGCTAACCTGTAATGTTGTATGGGGGCTTCTGTGGGAAATCTCAGCTTTGTTTGCTCTAAAGGATGATGTTCCCTTAGAAAAAGGATGATGGGATTTGTGTGACTTGCCAGGCTGCAGGAAATCCTATTTCAAATGCATGTTTCTAGGAATATCCATACTTTCTGTCAAAGGACTTTTCTGGAAAACAAACCTAAAACCAACTGTAGGAGATGGGTGAAGACTTGCTCTTGAAATGAGTGTTTTGCCCATCCTGCTTTTCCTGTGGCTTTTCTCCCCAGCAGTAAAAGGTGTTGGGCTGCAGAAGCTGGTCATAAGGGCTGTGGGTGAGAAGTCCTGAGCTTTGCCTGTGGTGTGGGAGACAAGATGAGGACCATGGCACAGATGCTGCATCCTTCCTTGGTGGTAGCCAATGCTCGGAGGTCTCTAGAGCAGATTTGATGAGTGTGTCAGGAATCGTTGGGTTACAGGGTGACTAAGGGCTTTTCCAGCCTCATTTCTCCATAACCGCAGCTTCCTCAAATGAGGAGTGTGTCAGTTCCCAGTACACAGGTCTAACCACAGCCTCCACAACACTGCACTGCTGTGCAGAAATCCCTCCTTGCATCCTCGGGAGCGTTGCTTCACTGCACCAGCTGGAGAGTGAAGAAATGCTCTAGCGAGGGGGAAGATGTTTGGTTGCATATGGCCAGTTGAAGGTAGGTAATGACAGAGCTCTGTGTCAAAGGAGGGTATGCCATTCCTTGCAGCTTTTTGGGATGGCTGCGTGTGGCTGCCTGGGTTAAGCATGTGCTTGCTGTGGTTGGCAGAGCAGTGCCTCTCCAGGGCCCTGCAGTGGACCTGTGGGTCAAAGCTAGTGCTCGAGCTCTTTCTCCTCTTGGTATTTAAAATGCCCTTTGAGCTTGTTATCCTGGTTCCTGACCTGTGCAGATTCGGTAGCCAACCTTCCTCTGTAACTTTTTTAATAAGATCTCTTAATTGTAGATTGCCCTGGAACACTTTATGGTTTTACAGCATCATTTTACTGAAAATACAGCTTTAAGATATGCAGTTGTGGGGTAGGTGGCTCAAGTCACGTGTGGCTATGTGGACGCACTCTGGACTCTCAAGTCTTTGTCTTTAGTTTGCTTATGGAACCACAGGGCACATGTAGCTCAGAGAGGGCACTGTCCACCACAGATCATTGAGTCTACCCTCCTGCTCAAAGCAGGGCCAACTTGTATTTTGAATATCCATAAAGAGTGGGGTTCCCCACTTCTCCAGGCATTTGTTTTGATGCTTAACTACCCTTTTGGGATGCAGCTCTGTCCTGTTGCCTCTGGTTCTTCTGCTGTGCAACTTTGAAAAGAGCCTGTCTGTCTTCTCCGTGCCCTCCTATTAGGTAGCTGAAGATAGCAATAACATCCCCCTTAATGTTCTCTCCACGCTGAATGAGCCCAGGTCTTGCAGTATCTCCTTGTGTATCATGTGCTCCAGCCACAGCTACCTTAGTAGCCTCCACTCAAGTTGCTGTGTTAGGTCAATGTCTGTTCTGTCTTGGGAATCTCAAGACTGGGCATGATACTCAAGATGCAGCTTCACAAGACCCAAATGAAAGTAATCCCTACCCTTAACCTGCTGGCTATGCTTTTGCTAACATAGCCTGGTATGTGATTGACCTTAATCACTGCAAGGTCCTGCTGCTGGCTCATGGTCAGGACCTCCAGGTCATGTTCTGGCCAGATGCGAAGCTGGACCTCAGCCTTTCCCATGTGTGGGATTTTGTGTTTGCTTTTGAACTTTACCCATGGTACCACATTGTTTAGGTCCTGCTCCAAGGTGTGTCAGTCATTCCCTCCAGTTCAGTCCTGTTGGGAACTTGCTGACATCGTGCTCTGGGTTGTCAAGACCTTATCCAGGTTCACTATGAAGATATATACATGATTGCCCCTTGGCAAATCCCCTCTGGCTTTTCACCCTGTACAATATGTACCTGGAAATGGATGCCAGAAGGACTTAACAGATCAAGGTGAGGCTGATTAGCCTGTAGCTTCCCTCATTCTTCTTGAAGGTGGATATGATTCTTCTTCCCAGGCAGCAGGACCTCTCCCTGATTACCCTGCTCTTTTAAAGATGATAAAATAGCTTCAGGCTGATGTTGGCCACAATCTTGAATATATCTGATCTGGTCCCATTCACTTAGGTGATCCCTAACTCCATCCCCTGTGATTGTGGGAAATATTTGACTGCACCAGACTCTGCCACTAGTATTCAAAATTGTCTTGCATGTGAATACTTGAACTTCTCTGGTTTGAGACTGCTGTTGTTTGCTGAGAACCAACATACACAGGGACAATGGCTTGTGCCTAAAGAAGGTGAAGGCGTATAAGAAGGCAGGAAGAGACAAATTCCTTCCTCAGCTTGGATCCACTTCATACTTACCCAAGTGGTATGGCCAGGACCTGTGTTTCCTGCTTGGTAAGCATGTCCTGAACTGGGGACCAGGTGGTACCATATATGAGGTAACTGGATATCACTCCTCTTTTGGAGAGGCTTTTTCAGCTGCTGGGGAGCTGAGGGCAGAGATGGGGCTGGGAGATGGCTTTATGGCCACCTATGACAGGCTTTGACCTGCAGTCATGCTTGTCCCCTGCTGCATCGCTGTAGGATGTGGGACATGGTGAGATCTGACTCGGGGTGAGCCTAAGCCTGCAGCCTGTCTGCGCTCTGCCTTCCTTCTGCTCTGCCCAAACTGCTCGTTCAGCTCTCTTCCCCCCAGACATGTGTTATGCAGCATGCCCAAAATAGCTGCTCTTTTTGTTTTATGGAGGAGGTTCATTTGCAGGTGGTGGTGTGACATTTGTATCCCATTTGCTCTATAAGCCCAGACTTATCCCAGTGGTTCTGTCCTCTTCCTCCTCCTCAGAAGCCAAGCAGTAATTGAAATTGGTGAAATATTCATGGCTGCAGCTGATAAGCCTCTTTGAAGATATTCTTCATCTCCTGTTATAACAGAATAAAATGCAGCTGGTTACAAATAGGAGAAAAGGAAGCTTTTTTCTTCTTTCAGCTCAGAGGCTGGATGAAGGTCAAGGTGAGGAACCTCTGGGGATGGATGCAAACTCATTCTCGGTCACAGGCCAAAAGTCAGGATTACGGGCTTTTGGCAGTACCAGTGCTAGTGGGTATTTAGGTGTTGTCTGTGTGGGGCAATCATGACAAAGGCCATCCTGTGCCGCTGCAGACCTTGCAGAGTGCAGCCTGCTCAAGTGGAGAGGGTGATATGGAGCAAGGTACCCTGGAGGTCTTATTTTGTGGAGCTAAGGGCAGTGTGGCACACATGATGCTTGACAAGTTAAGTACCTACTTACATTTCTAGATGCTCAAGTGAGGCTCCTGGTCCCTTGGCCAAGGACACCTCAACTTTCCCCGTGTCTTGCAATGAGTCAGGAGCAGGACAGTGGTTTGTCATGGTTGGTTGGTTGGTTATTTATTTTATTTTTCCAAGAACTCTTAATATCTGTGTCCATGGGTTTTCCCAGGGGGAAGCAGCACTTGAAAGGCTGATGATTCCTTAGTCTAAAAGCCTCTGATTATGTACAGGGGCACGTGTTACTGTGGCTTGGAGATTGTGCTGTCTCCTTGAAATCTTTTGGCCAAAAAGGGGTCTATGGACTTGAATGCGTCACCCCTAATTTTCCAGGAGACTGTTCAGGAGGGGAGACCATTGTCACACAAAAGTTCCTCTTGGCAGAGCGTTTCTATTCTGCTTTCTGCTGTTGATGCCACAGGTATTGGAGCAGAGTGTATCTCACGGAGCCTTCTCCTTCTTGTTTGCAGGCTGTACCAAGCTGTCAAGCTGCTCTTCTCCTTTGGGATTTTCATCACCTACGCTGTGCAGTTCTATGTGCCCGCTGAGATCATCATTCCTCCCCTCGTCGCCCGGGTGTCGGAGCGCTGGGGCTGGCTGGTCAACCTGCTCCTCAGGGTGGCCCTGGTTGGCGTGACCTGTGAGTACAAAGCAGCTTGTCTGAGTTCCCCTATGAGGATGTGGGACATCTTCCTGCTGTGGGCTTTTGGTGCTAAGAGCTTTCACCCCTTGCCTTGCTGCCTCATAGCAGGGAGTCTCCTGGACCTTGCTAACGCAAGCCTGTAGGCCAAGGTGGCCTCCAAGGAGCTGCAGCAGTGGTCCTCTGCCCCCTCTATATGCGACCAGTCTTCCCACATCTTTTGGTGCCTGCAGTGAGGCTCTGGTGGAGCAAGCTGCTGGGCTCAAGCCTCGTGGGCCTTTGGAAAAGGTGTGGAGCAAATCAGGTGCAGAAGTATCTGATTTTGGTTGGCTTGATTCCTGACGGCTAAATCCTTGCTGTTGTCAGCACAGCTGAAATGCTTGACTGAGCTCCCTGGCGTCATCTGCTGAAAAAGAGCTTTTCTCTGCTGATGTGCCAGAGTTGAGCATCAGGGACCTTCCCAGCATCCCAGCTGGCTTTGGTCTGGGTTTGAGAGGAGTGTGATGCTAACTCAAAGGCGGTGGAGTGGGCTGAGAGCAGGGTGCTGCTGGTTTCTGGGCTTTCACTAATGATGGGCCATTGAGCTGCATTCACAGAGGCGAGCAAAGCCTCATCTCCTCTGTGCTGAGTTCCTGAAGCACCTTCTGCCTCAATGCCTGCAGCTGGAGGGATGGTGCAGGGTGAAATCCTGCTGTGCTGGGCCATGTACTCTGGTCAGGCTTGAAGCCTGCCAGCAGGCTGGGAGCCTCTCCTGGAGGGTGTTGGGGTTTGCCTGGCCAGGGAAGTGAAAGCTTGGTGTGATGGGATGGCTGTACCCTCCTGTCTCTGTGTTGGTGTAAGGATGCTGGTTCCTTTGTGCCTCCTCCCCTTACCCTTCCCTGTAAGAGATGGCTGTGGCTGTTGCTGAGGATAAAAGCAATTGGGGGGGTTGCATGAATATTCATCAGCTGAATGCGTGGCTGCAGAACAAGCCTGCATCGTGGCTTTGGCTTCCAAAGAGAGGATGCAATTTAGCGTCTTTTAAGCTTAGACTTCAAAACCAGCACACTTAAAACCCCTTTGAATTAATACCTGTGGAAAGCATGACCGTTGCCCCGGAGGCTGAGGGCTGCAGCTGGTGCTTCAGCTCTGCCTCTTTTAGAGGGGGTTAATAGTTTTGTTTGCTTCAAGTCCAAAGAGCTGTGTGGGGTGGGCTGAGGATGCTGCTGAGAGCTCTGCTCTCCCTGCAGGCTGCTGGAGCAGGGATGCTGCTTGCAGCACAGACCTGGCAGAGCCCTCCTTTGGCCCTGTGCAGGGCTGAGCACTGGGATAAACTTCCTCCAGGTCAGCTCAGTGGGGACCTTTGCTGCTGTCCCCCATGGTGGAGGGAAGGTTTGTCTCTAGGTTTATCCAGATGACAGCAGGGCTGGAATGTGGTGTTGTGCAGGAGCATCTCCTATTTGTGCCCATGCCTGCTGTCAGCCTCCCAAACTTTTAATCTCCTGTGGTGCTATGGGTGATCTTTGGCTCAGGAAGGCTCCATCAGCCTGTAGCTGATTGCCAGGGTGAAAACAAATCCCACTGGGAAGGAGCCCCGAGATGTCCCTTCTCCACCGAGGCTGTAGCTGCCATGTTTCTAGCTGTCTCCTATTTCTAAGCAGAGCTTTCAAAGCAATAAACCAGTATTTGATTAAATACTGAAGTCTGCTTTGCTTGCAGAGGGTGCTCTTCTGTCATGCAAAGCTCTGCTTGTCTTTTCCTCAGGCTGTGTTTGACTTAGAAGCAGCAGCGATGCTCTCCAGTGCCGAGGTTGCCTCGGATGGGGATCTTGCTCAGTGTGTGGTGTTGAGGGGCATTGTGGTGGTGGCTGTGGGCTGGTTGGAAGGAGAAGGCACCATCCCTCTGTCCTCCCCTGGCCCCGAGCAGGAGCAGAGGGAGCAGAGTTTGCACTGCTGAGTGCAGAGCTGTCAGAAGTCTCCTGGGGGATTTTCCTTGGCTGCAGATACTACCTAACAAATGTTCTCCTCGGGGCTGTGCCGTGGGCGCTCTGCTGCTGGAGCAGCTCTAAACACATGCAAACCACATTGGTGTATTCAGGGTGAGGGGAGAGGGCTTTTTCTTCCCTTCCCCTGCTTTTATAGGGTTTCTGAGGCTTTACAGCTCCCCAGGTGCGGGGGGCAGGAGTCCTGGCTCTCACAAAGGGGGCCAAGGATGCTGTGGCTGTTCTTCTGCCAGCGGCATCTGTTTGCTGGAGCACCCATGCTGAGCCCTGGAGCTCACCGGTGCCCAGGGTGACAAGAAGAGTTTGGTCTGCATGCTGCGCTTCGTTAACTCAATGCAATGGCTTAATTGCTTGTTGGGGAGGAGAAAATATATGTAACCCCATCTTCAAAGTTCTTGCGTCAGGGAGAAGGGCAGAGGGAGGATTCAAGCAGATCCCTGAGGTGGGGTTTTGCTTGCTTTGACTCAGGGGAGGAGGGTCTTTGCCATCTGGGAATCATCAGTGCTAACGTGATGTCTGCTCCCTCTCCAGGCGTCCTGGCCATCCTCATCCCGCGCCTGGACATCGTCATCTCACTGGTGGGCTCCGTCAGCAGCAGCGCCCTGGCTCTCATCTTCCCCCCGCTGCTGGAGATCGCCACCTACTACTCCGAAGGGATGCACCCCCTCGTCATCGCCAAGGACGTCGCCATCAGCCTCTTCGGCTTCGTGGGCTTCGTGGTGGGGACGTACGAGGCGCTGGTGGAGCTGGCAGCGCCCGCGGCCACCGTGGTGAACGCCACCAGTGCCGTGGTGCAGTGACGGTCCCCTGCCCGCCCGGGTGCCACGCTCTGGGCGCAGGGGCTCCGGGAGATGCTGGTCTCCTGGGAACGGTCTCCCCTCTCCTCGTGGTGGGGTTGGTCTGCGAGAGGACAGGGCTGCCCCCCCAGCAGCAGGGTCCTGTGCTGGGCTCTGGCTGTGGAGGTGAGATCTGGTCTGGGGCAGTGCCTTCCCTGGGGGCTTTTTGGGTAGGTGATAGAGCAAAACAGCCCCCTCGGCCCCTGTAAATAGTCACTTTCAGAGGGGAGCAATCCTGGGGATGTGGATTTTGATTATATATTTCATTCTTAAATCCCACCCTTTCTATATATCCCCCATCCCTTCAGCCAGGGTGGGAACAGGGACTGCTCTATTTTGTGCCAGTTTGTTTGGTTTTGTTTTGTTTTTTTCCCTGAGCACTTTATTTTTACAGCAACAGAGAAACCTCAGCTCAGGTTGGAGAGTGTGGAGCTGCCTCCTCACCTTGTGGGGAGTGTGGGCAGAGCCCGAGGTGTGGAGCATCCCGGGAACCCCAGCATTCCTGTGCTGGGATCCCCAGACATGGGCATTAGCTCCTGCTGTGCTCCAGCTCTGTTTCCAGCTGCCTGAGGGGCTGTGCAGGGCCTGAAGCTGTGCACTGGGTACATCCTTGGCATGGGAGAGTTTGCTGAACCCTATCCCATGCTTTCAGTAGTGACACTTCTTTTTCCTCACATAACGCACAAGTACAAGGCTTTTGGAAGCATTAGAGAACCAAGGCTTGTGGGGAGCAAATGGGCTCCTCTGCCACAAGGAGGGTCCAACCTGGCTGCCTTCAGCTGGGAGCCCTCTCCCTGTGTGGGATGGGGTGTCCTCAGGGGTCACCACTTGCTGCCTGCACACTGCTAAAACACATTGCCTTGTTCCCAGTGCACACATCAGCTGTGTCTGCAGGCTGATACTGGATGTCAAATCACACTCAAAACCCCTATTTTTTTTACCCTTACTCCCCCTACATCCTCTACCCAAGCTCCTGTCTTCCAGTAGGACGCAGCTCTCTGGTGCTTCTCCCTGTGCTCCTGTTGCTTCTTGCATTGTGGCTGGTGCATGCCTGGGGGGGTGGTCCCCGTTATGCTGCTGCTTTCCTTACTCGGCGAGCCAAGCTTCCTCCCTGGGGAGTTTCCTTGCCTTTCTGCTGGGTTTCTTTGTTTCTAAGACAAGAGAGCAAATGCATCCTCCATGGGATGTCTTCTAGTAGTGCAAAAAAGTTTTGGCTGAGCCACCCCTCTGTAACCCTGTGTCTTGGCCAAACTCCTCCCTTCCAATGCAGCATCTTCCAAACACTGGCAGTGCGATGGCTTCCTTTGGAGAGCCTTTATCCCTCCATCCTGGCACAGCCATATCTTCCTGGCGGTGTGAATATAGCACTGGCATGCTGCATTCCTATCTTTGATGGAGGATGAGTGAGGCTTGGGGTTATTTTTGGTGTTTGACCCACTTCTGGGAGGAGAAGGCAGTGCTGAGCGGTGTCCCTGCCTCCACGATGTGTGGTGTTTCAGTGTCTTGCACTGTGTTCCCTTTGCTGGTCCTGCTTTGGGTGCCCTGTGCTGGTGCATGGACCCAGGGGCAGGGTAGGTCTGTGCCATGCTGCTCTTCCTTTTCCAGCCCCATACCTGCTCACTGCATCTCTCAGGGCTCACTTTGTCTCCTCAAAGTCTGCGCTGGTGAAGGTTTCAGCATGCTCCGGCATCGCTTGGTCGTGAGCAGAGCAAAGCTTTAAGTCAAACCCTCCATCTGGAGCAAACACTCAGGTCTGGGAGGGGGCTCCAGGGCACGCCACAGACAGAAGTGCAATACTCACATCCATCACTGCATACTGACCCCAGTGTGGCCCTTGGGGTTGGGTTTGGGTGCAGAAATGCCACCCTTGGCAGACCAGGGGATGTTTGATGCCTGCCCCCTGCTCTGTTGGGGCTGGCCACATCTTGGGCTACAACTGTGTCCCAAGGGCATGTCCCCTGCCTGACACTGGGCATCAGTGGGTTTGCTGGCATCCTGGCATCCAAACTCACTTTGCACTCAGTGGTGAGGGCCTCATTTCCAATGAGACTGGGATATCACAGCAGCAGTAAATGGTTTTGCAATTCTTCACTTTATGGGGGTGTTCAGGGGCTGTTTGGAGATGGGGCCAGACATGCTGGTGGGGCACATGGTGTGATGGGCTCTGCTGAGCCAGGAAGTCCTGGCACAGGACCCAATGGACACGAAAACTTGACACTTGCGTATCGTAGGCTGCTCTGTAACCATGGAACTTGTAGATATAGAAATGATTAATGTATGTGTCTCGTGCCGATGGATATTGTCAGCGTACAGTGTGTGTAGCTGCCCAGTGGAAGAGCTGGGGCTGCACAAAAATCATGTATCTTACTTTAATCAATAAATATGATTTATTTTTTATGTGGAAATGCGCTGGGCTGTGACATGGGGGCTTCTCTTCCATGAGGCAAGTGCAAAACTACCTGGCAGGACCTGGGCCAGGAATGGAGCATGCCATAATAGCATCCAGCATCGGGGGTCGGATGATCTTAAGGTCGCTTCCAACCCTAACTATTCTGTGATTGCTGCAGCTTGGCTTATCCTCATGTTGCTGAATAATTGATGCTACTTTGGTGTGTCCTTAGTGGGGCTATTTGGGAAATCAGTGCTAAAAAAGGGTAGTGTCTTGAAGCTGTAGCAGAAAAATCTCTTTATGCAGAGTAATGGGGAGTGTGGTCCTGGGAGGGGGACTGGAGGCCATCTGAACCCCAGGGCAGGAGGAGCATCTGAGCACAGGCAGCTCCTGGCCACCCAGGTATTACTGACCATGGAGAGTCACCATGGCTGGATCCACGGCCATCCTTTCTTCAAGGGTTGAGCACAGCAGGGCTGCCCCCACTCCATGAAATGGCTTTGCTGAGGCTGCCTCTATTCAGGTGCCATTTAGCATCATCCCTGTTGGCCTTGCTCTCCCCTGCACTGCAGCTGCCAGCCAAGGGGACCCTGGGGAGCTAAAGTCAAGAAGTTTTATTAAAACCAGCCATAAGCCCATCCTGTAGAGCAAAGCTGAGCTGGGGACCTGCACAGCTGCAACCTATTGCTCCTTACCCTGGCTGTAATGTGGGATTAACCCCAGCTGGGGTGGGGTAGCAGGGCTGGGGTGGGAGGTCTGGGCATTGCAGGTGATGCTCGTCCTGCAGCAGCACTTCAGGCAGGAGGGAGGCTGTCCTGCCATTCTCTTCTCGACCTCTCTGTGTGATGAGCCCCGCTCAAGCCAGCAGCAGATAGGATGTTGTGGTATCCTTGGGGTGTTTTGGGGAGTGGAGTGAATCCCAGTGCTGCTGCAGGAAAAATGCAAGAAGAAATGATTTCTGGTTTATTCTGGTCTGTGAAGAATGAGCAACAAGGGGTTTCACATGTCTTTGCTCTTAAGAGCAGCAAAGGAGGAACAGGGAAACTGGGGCTGCATGAGTTTACGTTGAAGGCTGTCCCACCCTGTCAGCTATAGGTGCTTGGCTGCCATGGGGCATGAACGTGGTTTCCCTTTTGGTAAGGAAGAGGTCTGGGAAATCCAAAGCAAACGTCTGTGTGCACCCACCTACTGCACCCAAACAGTGTTTTGGGGCTCCCAAATGATGCCCTGGTCCTTGTTGTGGGCATGCAATTGTGTGATCTCCCCTCCTGCTCCTGGTGTTCGTGCTCTGTTCCCACTTGCACTGCCTGTATGATACACTTAGTATCTGTGTGCCCTTCTGCCTTGGCATGGGGCTGGCCCTGAGGGATCCTCAGGGCTGGGACCGTCCCCCCTCATCAGTCACTGATGGGGTCACTTGGCACCAGTCTTGGAAACTGAGATGGATAATGCTCTCCAGTTGACAATGAGCCCTGTCTTGCTATTTTGGTACTTTGAAGGAGATGCTGGGATCCAAGAAAAGCTGTTATTCCCTGTGCTGGAGCTGGACAGTGATGTCCTATTTACAAGGAAATCCCTGAGTTACCAAATATAATCATAGTAGTAAAAAAATCCAAACTCTTTTAATACTTTCCAAAAATTGACAACAAAAAAAGTTACATCAAACAACCAACCAAAGAAAACCTCTCACAAAGCAACGATACATTTCCAAGCACAGGGACATACGGACAAACCCACGCTCAGCAGCCTCGGTGCCCTGCCACAGCCATGTGGTGCTGGTCAGTCTTTCTGGGACACGCCAGGGAGCCCCATCCGGGTGGCAGGACCATGCACTGCTGTGTTCAGCGTGGGACCATGACAGCCATGGGCACATGTCAGTGCTCACGTCCTCAGGGCAGGGTCTCCCTTATTCCCAAGAGCACAGCCTGCCTGGGCAGGGATCGTGCTTTGCTGCTGCACTGGTTTGAGTCTGTGGGTGGTTCCTGGTGTGATGAAGCTTCTTGCTTGTTTTTAATACAGAAATGGGCTTTTTTTTTTTTTTCTTTTTCTTTTTTTCTTGGACTTCTGCTGGCCAAGTGAGGGATGTGCTGATGGGACCAGCCGCATCCCCTCATCTCCCTCCCTGCATCAGGGAGCAGACATGGAAGAGGGTTTGCACCAGCTGATCCATTCCACCGGGCAAATTGTTGGCTTGATGCAAGCCCTCGGAGCCAGAGCAGGGTAGCTCTGCTATCCCACATGGGGCATTCCCAGGCTGTGCATCACTAGTCCTTTTGCACCTTCTCCACCATGACTGCTGCCATACCTGCAGTGCTTGCCCTCCTCCTCATCCCTGTGGCCAGGGAGCCTGGGGTGGGAGGAGGTGGCATGCTGCGGTCCTGCTTGGTATCCGAGAGAGTCCCCTTGGCAAGGAGGCAGGTTAGTCATTGGCATCCCAGGAGCATCCTGTGTGTCCGGGCAGTGGCTGGAGCATTTCCCCTCCATTTGCAGCAGGAGCACGGTGTGGGGAAAGATCCAGCCAAACTACAACCCAGCCATGCAGGGGGAGATGCTGCAAGGTGGGGGAGACACATTA